TCCAATGTTGACCACTTGGAAAATTGTTCCCGAAGAACTGGGCGGCGGTTGTTTCTGAGGCAGCTTGGGCCCGTGGTGATGCGATGATGCCCACATGGCGCGGGATGCGTCCCAAGGAGAGGTCCCTGCAAGGGCTAGCAGGTGACTTGCAGCAGCAGCAGGAGCAGCAGCAGTGCCGGATCGTAGAGTGATGCCATCACAGTATGTCAGAGTGAAATGACACGGATCAAACGGAATGGGGACCCTTTTCTTCAGTTTCGCAGCGTGGCTTGGCAGTGTGCTGTCATGGCCTCTGTGTGCATTGTGATGTATTTGTGTGGAGATGGTCTGTGGGGGCCAAAGGGGTGCAGTGGTGCAGTGACCCGACTCGGACCCGTCAAAATGCTCCGGAATAACACTATGCCCGTCAGGAGAGATTGAGCTCCAGGGTCCAGCTTCCACCCCGCCAATCACAGCTGCCAAAGTGCAAGAAGCAGTGACCCCGGCTGTCCAACCAGACGAGGGCAACTTATCTTACCTAATCACAGAATGATCCGTGCTCAGCCACCAGTCTGTGACAGTCGGTGACAGTTGTCACTCACAGGAGGTACCAAAGTCCCTTTACTCCATCCGTTCTGCACAGCACCTGCGCCTGCACGCCTGCCGCTGTTGGCCTGCTAGGTACTTCGTGGTGCCCTGTTGTGATCCTCGCAGCGACTGTACATACAGACTGACCTGAGGTGCGTCTCCAGTTCAACAGCCCAAAACCCACCTGTGGTGCGGCGTGCCCACCCAATTCCTGCGCAGTAGGTGCGATTGCAGTCTGTCCAGTTGGGTTGATGATGCAGGCGAGGAGCACCAGACCACACCTTCCACTGCCCACTGCCACTGCCTCTGCCACTGCCATTGCCTCGACCTCCACTCGTCAACCTCATCCGTCCCCTCTTACAACAACAGCACCCGGGTATATGCCGACTGCGTGCCTCTCTGGAATCCCAATGCGCATCTTCAACACCACTTCTCCTTCTTCCAAACCCATTCTGTCATTGACCGACTGTCGAACTTGCCTTATCTGAACCTTTCTTATCCAACCCCCAACTCCCGCGTCAACAGCGCCTCCTACTGTCAACAGTGTCAACAGTGTCAAGGCCTGTTCCTGGCTGGCTGCCGCCGCACCACTGGGGCCGTCTCCAGCTGTCCAGACTCCCAAAGCACCGCTCTCTCTACCTTAATATTTGCACCGCCGCTAGCACGTTAGGGGAGGTCGGCTTTCTGGTCCCGCGTCGTCGTCTCACACTTCACACCTGGGCCCCGCAAACAACTTCAGCTTTACCGACGATCCAGAGATTCCACCCCCCATCTACCTTCAACCTTTCGCGTCTGGCTCTCTTCTTTCGCTGCCCGATCGCCCATACCTTTTTCCTTCATCTGCCAACCTTTGATGCGTCGTTACCTTGTCGCAACTCACCCGCCAATTCTCGACTCTAGCTTCCACCCCCTGCTCTTCGCATCCAGAAGCGACGCTTTCCTGACAACCCAACCCTAGCACTCGCCGAGCAACAGCGACAGCGACAAGCGACAGCAACGCACTCCTTTCATCACGTTGACATCGATCTGCCGACGCGCTGGCTACCGCCTGAACACCCACCGCGCCCACGCATAGCCCTTCATTCTACTGCGCAGCTCGCCGTCCGGGCCGTCTACCAATCCGCCCGCATCGCCTGCCCACATTCGACGACACCCGGCCGATATTGAACCCCCTGCAGCAGCAGCACCACCTGCACCTCGACCGTCCGCCCTGCGCTCCTCCATATCCCGAATCGTTGTTGGACCTGCGTCCATTGCGGTTTACAGTCTCTAGTTGCAGCTTTCGAGTCGGCGAGTCTGTCGCCCCACGGAGAGAGGGAACACTACAGTGACGTCCACAATGAAGCGCTTCAGCCAGAGGGTGGTGAGTTGTCTCCGTTCATACCCGTTGCCCCTGAAGCCCAATCCCGCTGCTGAACACGATATTGACAACCCAGCATGCTCAGCTCTCGCGCGGCAAAGACCCCAATAAGCCTAAGAAGAACAAGGACGCCAAAGATGGCACCGCATCCCCCAGCGGTGCTGGCTCAGGCAGAGATGCCAACCAGTCACCCAACCCGACGCCCTCGTCCTCCACCACGAACCTCGCCGATGCCCGCAACAAGCCCCTGCCTCCTAACAACGCCGGCGGAGAGCACGGCACCGCGAACCAGCCCTCTCCATTGAGCAACCAGCAAGGTGCCGACCGCTTCAGCTCTGCGGGTGCTGCCCAAGGTGCTAACGGGGCAGGTTCTCCAGGCCGTCATGGAACTTTGCCGCCTACCGTCATCATCAGCCCCAGTGCTCCGGTAAGCTTGTGGCCTTCGTCCTGTTCATGATACTCTTGATCCCTGACACTTTCTCCCAGCACGTCCCACCTCCCGGTGCCGCAGAGACCATGCCGCACGATCTCGCGCCCCCCAAGGCCGGCACCAAGTCGCTCATGTTCGATCGCCTCCACCAGACTCCCAAGGACGTCCCCGAGGGTCTCAGGACACCCAAGCGACAGCACTCTTCACGATTCGACATCTCTGCTCACCGCGAGCTCGAGAAGCTCCCCGGTTTCCACGAGGTGCCCCCTAACCGCCGCCAGGAGCTGTTTATGCAAAAGATTGACCAGTGCAACGTCATCTTTGACTTTAACGATGCCAGCGGTGACATGAAGTCCAAGGAGATCAAGCGATTGGCGCTCCACGAGCTGCTCGACTACGTTGCTAACAACCGCCAAGTCATTACGGAACCCATGTACCCCAGAGTCGTCGAGATGTTCGCCAAGAACCTCTTCCGCCCTATTCCCCCGCCGATGAACCCCCAGGGCGAAGCGTTCGATCCCGAGGAAGACGAGCCCGTCCTGGAGGTTGCATGGCCCCATATCCAGGTCGTCTACGAGTTCTTCCTCCGATTCATCGAGAGCCAAGACTTCAATACCAACATTGCCAAAGCCTACATTGACCACAGCTTCGTCCTCCAGCTGCTGGAGCTCTTCGACTCCGAGGACCCGCGCGAGAGGGACTTCCTCAAGACGACCCTGCACCGAATCTACGGCAAATTCCTCAACCTCCGCTCCTTTATCCGCCGCTCCATCAACAACGTCTTTTTCCAGTTCACATACGAAACGGAACGATTCAACGGTATCGCCGAGCTTTTGGAAATTCTGGGTTCCATTATCAACGGATTCGCCCTGCCGCTGAAGGAGGAGCACAAGACCTTCTTGACAAGGGTGCTGATACCATTGCACAAAGTCAAGAGTCTGAGCATGTACCACCCGCAGCTGGCATACTGCATTGTCCAGTTCCTCGAAAAGGACGCGTCGCTGACGGAAGAGGTGAGTCGTCTTGTGTTTCTGTCGGTGACTGAGCTAACGCGTACAGGTCGTGCTCGGCCTCTTGCGATACTGGCCCAAGGTCAACAGCACAAAAGAGGTTATGTTCCTTAACGAGGTCGAAGACATCTTCGAAGTTATGGATCCAGCCGAATTTGCCAAGGTCCAGGAGCCTCTATTCCACCAGCTCGCCAAGTCTGTAGCCAGCCCTCACTTCCAGGTCGCAGAGCGAGCGCTCTACTTTTGGAACAACGAGTACTTTTGCAACCTGGTCAGCGACAACGTCGAGATTATCCTGCCCATCATGTTTGCGCCGCTCTATGAGAATTCAAAGGGCCACTGGAACCGGTGAGTACGGACGCTCCCTAAACTCGAGACCCGCTAACCTCTGACAGCACCATCCACGGCATGGTGTACAACGCCATGAAGCTGTTCATGGAGATTAACCCCCAACTATTCGATGACTGCTCTCACGACTACACCGAGCAACAGAACAGCGCCGCGGCCAGAGAAGCCTTGCGTGAGAGGAAATGGGCTTCCATCACAGACCAGGCCGAGCAAAGACGATCAGCAAACGGCGCACCGACCGCGGGTAGAGCCCACGCTGGATCCCTTTCCCGCGTCGACGAGGTTGACGGCACCGAAGACAACCAGAAGCGTCTAGATTCTCTTAATCTGCAGGATGGAGATCGCAGGGATCGTCGGCAAGAGCAACAAGACTCGGTATGATCAGCCCACACCATGATTTACGCTTGTCCCTTGCTCATGTTTGGCGTGCCTTTGCGCTGCCTTCTGTTCGACTTATTGCGTGCCCCACGCCCCAATGGACGATGATTAACAAGTCGGATTCTAGGATGCGGAAGAGAACGGCGAAGTCAAGGCCGAGGCGGACGAGGAGTCATGACGGGGGACCGACATCACTGAATGACATGCCTTCAACCGGTTGAGGGGAGACTTTTTAAAAGGGGAAACTCATGCATGAGTTGTATGCTGGAGGGAATGATTCAGAGGATCACCCAGGAAACGACTTTGGTGCGGAGAGGAAAGAAAGGTTTCCGTGCGCTAGGGATGGGGCCTCGCAGCCCCCGGAAACATAACTTAATTTTCATGATGTCACTTCTTTTGTTTTCTCTTTTTTTTTTTCGCGTGGAATACAGACTCGACTCGAGATCGAGTTGCCCCCGCCCGCCGTTTTTGGGGTGACAGAGATTTGGTGTGAGGGGGTTGCGAAAAGAAAAACGTTGTGTTAGGAGCGTTGGGAGAAAGGGGACGGAAAGCACAAGAAGGCGTGGATGGACGAGAAAGATGGGATTGGCGTACAAAGGACGCAATTCAGGGAGGGAAGACGATGATTTTCCTCTTCTTCTGCGCGAGCTTTATTGCTCCGCGAGGAATCGAGGGAATCGCGATGGTTCTTTTACCTCCTTGGTTTCTGTCTTGGACGATGAATGAGTACTGGCGTGTGATTCCGCCACAATTCTAGACTTGGGTAACAAAAAACGGCTTACGCAGAACTATTTTGAGAGTTTGCTCGCGGTGGCACCCTGTTCATGTTTGATGGCGTGTATTTGTCTTGGTTGCTAATCTACAGATTCTTCTTCTCTCCAATCTCCTCTTTGATCTCAAGACGACCTCACCACCCGCCTCTGCCGCGATCAGAGCCTCCGCCTCGTCTCCCGCGTCCACGGTACCCGCCGCCATTGCCTCGTCCGTACTGCTGATAATTATTATACTGCTGCTGCTGCTGTGGAGGAGGAGGAGGAGCTGCCCACCCGCCGCCGCCCATGTGGGGTGGCGGAACCCCTGGGCCCGGCGGCGGAGGAGCCCAGCCGTGTGAAGGAGGGGGGCCGCCCAGGTGAGGCGGTGGTGGTGGCGGCGGCGGCGGCCATTGGCCCTGATAGCCTTGCGGAGGCGGTGGCGGCGGAGGGAAGTGGCCGAACCCGCCTGCCGCCTGTGATAGTGGCGGGGGGTACGGCGGGAAGGCTTGGACTTGTGAGGAGTTGTAGCTTGAGGGAGGGGGCGGCGGCGGCGGCTGCTGTTGCTGTCCCCAGCCGGCGGTGTGACTTTCCGTCCCAAAGTCTGGGGGGTTGTGGTGGCGATTGCGGTCGGATGGTGGCAGTGGTGACCTGCTGGCATTGCCACGGCCCCTATCTCTATCTCGGTCTCTTGCTGGGCCACGATCGCGCGACGTTGATCTTGATCTGTACCGAGCACGCGACCTCGACCTAGATCTTGACCTCGACCTGCTGTAATCTCTCGAATCGTAGCGGTTGCCACGCGCAGGGCTGCGCCGACGATCCCGGCTCCGACTGCGACTACGGCTAGGCGTCCGCGAGTCCGGCGATACTCTGCGTCGTTTAAAGGCCGGCGGAGAGTCGCTCCTGCTGGATCTGCTACGGGAGGAGCTTCGAGAACGGCTCCTGGAGTCGGACCGCCCACGGCCGCGATCGGTCGGCCCCCCTTTCGTCTTCTTCCTCCGCTGCTTCATCTTCTCGCAGAACCTGCGGGACCACCCGTAGTACGTCTCCCCGTCGACGACCTCGCCCGTGATCTCGTCGAGAACGATCCGCTCACCCATCTCGCTGAGGCCTGTGTGCTGCTGCTGCTGCTGATCATCTCGCGGGACCACGCCTGGGTTGTAGAGCCTTTCGACGTCCGCGAGCAAGTCCTTTACCGCCTTGGCGAGGGCCTTGTCCGCGGGTCCTGGGGCGAGCTGCAGCGGCTTGATCATGTCTGGGTTCATGGCCTTTGTCGAGTTGGGCGTGAGATGCGGCAGCCAATTCGCGGCTGGGAGGTCGAACCAGGGCGTGTTGGGGTCGCCATGGATCGAGGGAATCATGTAGGGCGCGTCTTTGGCGGGCTTCGAGCCGAGATTCGACCCCGTCTGGCCCTGTTCTCCCTTTGCTACCTTGCCGCCGTGGGGAGCTTCTTTGATGGTCTCGCGGAGGTCGTCGATGACGGTCGTCGAAAAGTACTTTTGCTTTTCCCACAGGGTCAGCAGATCCTCGAGCTTCTTTGCCTGTTTGGGGCAGTTTGGAAACTTGGCGGCGCCGTAGAGTAGGGGCGTCAGGCTGGCCTCTAGGGCGGTCGCGAAGCGCGCATCCCGATCGCGCACGGCGACGTGGTAGAGAACGTCGTTGATGAGGTAGAGAATGTGCAGACGCTTCCTTCGCGTCGAGGGCTTCGTCTTGCCATCATCGGGAAACGAATTGGAGAGGGCGGCCAGGTATTTGCCGACGGCGCTGACGCGCGCCGGCGAGGGGACCAGGTTCTTGAGGATCCAGCGCTTGCATTTCTAGAGGCGGCGGGAGTTTAGTCGACCTTGCAACCACAGAGGAGCGCACACAGAGATGTGTAGAGATAGAGAGAGAACAGCGGCAATAGTAGAGGCCGCTGGAGGGCGTCAAACCTGAACGTTGGCCGGCGAGCACTGGTGTATCGCGTCGTGGAGGAGGGTGTGAAAGCTCTCGATCTCGGGCCTGGTGAGCGAGACGGGTTCTTTGCGGAAGAGGATGGCGCTGAAGGAGGCCTTGGCTATCGCTAGCTCAGGGTTCGCCATTGGGACCCGGTCGCATGCCTGCTGGGTGGATTAGATCTGGGAGAGTAGGCGTTGGGCAAAGAGGTGAGGTTTAAGTGGGATGTCGAGGTCGAGCTAGAGCTGGAGCAAAAGGACGTGCCGCCACAAGCTGCGACGGCCGCGACAGCTGGGTACTTAGGGCCAAAGTGGCTTAGCTCGGATTGAGGCTGGAGGTCGGAATTGGGGGTTTCTGCGGCATCTTCCGGAAGGACCCATCTGCCCAGTGCGAACAGCGGCCTGTGTCTTAGCGGTTTGCGCCGATCGGCCCTCGTGCTTGAAGTCGACAAAGATTGAAGTATTGGCCTTGAGGCAATTGACATGCTTTGCCGATACAGAACGACCAATCGTAGGCTAATGGTAGAGACTCGTTGATTGATGGAGGCACTGATGTCGAGAGTGGTGCATTGCGTGGGTTCACCAACGGAGACGAAGCATGCTCCAGGTGTAATGAATCATTGACAAGCTCCCAAATCATATACTGCTTTTCAAGTCACCAACGCGAAGCCCGACAAACGCAAGAAACAGGGCGCAGAAAATCGGTCATCGTTTCTTCGTGTCGTCCTCAATGATACAATGTACAGCCAGAACCGGCCGAGCAAACAATTATACTACACGAGCTCTGGGTCCATCCACCGCCTTGGTCCAGTGACTATGAGAACCGATCCCCCTTTGGACTCTTGAACGGCGTACTACTTTCGTATTTGCTCTTCTCCGTCACTCTCTGCGCTTCGGTCGCCGGGGCGTGGCGGGTCGGGGCGGGATCGGAGCTGGACTCCTGGCTAGGGGAGCCGGCGGTATCGGTGCGCGCAGCCCCGGCCATGGCGGACGCGGAGCCGGGCTGGGAGGGAACGTTGTCGCCGTACTCAAGAGACTGGACCATCGCCTTCTTCTGGCGCTGCTCCTCGAAGCGGGCGGCACGATCGGCGTTGATGCTCTGCTTGGCAAAGTAGTAGGCAGCTCCGCCGGCTGACACGGGGGTTGGTTAGCTACGCGACGCAAAAGGGCTCAGGACAACATACCTGCGCAGAGGGAGCCCCATCCGAGCCTGCGAGACGAAAGAGTGTCAGTGTTGTTGATTGATGAGAGCGGTTTGCGACCAGGACGACGAGTCAAGCCTACCAGAATGATTTGACCTAGGATTAGGCTTGATGTCAGCCAAGAACTTGAAACCATGTGCGACGGCCGGGGAGGAACTTACGGTGTTCATGTTTGCGGTGGAACGTGAGGGTTTGAGGATTTGGACAGATCGGTTTTGCTGCAATGGAGAGAGCTGTGTTGTTTGGTCTGAACAACCAAAGAAAGAAAGAAAAAATGTAGCCCTGTCGGCTCGCTCAAAGGACGATTGGGAACCCGGTCGATCGGAGCGCAAGCTGCCACTGAGCAACGAGGACGCACTGTAGAAAGTGGGATGGTCTGATGATGGAGCTCGAGAATCCCCGATGGCTTGGCCTTTTGCACCGTGCACGCATGCTGTGGACCCCGAAAGATGAAAGAGGTTAGCCACACTTCCGTCACCCAACTGACAGATCAAAAGTAAGTAGTGCAACTATGTTGTAGCCAGGCTGGAAAATCTCTAAATAGCATAGAGACCAAAGTTGTACCTTGTATCTGATGGTGGTTGAAGCAACTCTCTACCAGAACGGAGAATCCAGGGTTGAGGAGCGGCCGAGATGCTTCAATCTAAAGTGCCAGCTATGGCTAGAAGCTGAGGTAAGCAGGTACGTAGTCCCAGACCCCAGGCCCGGGACAGGTGCGCCGGACTCAACGATCGCTGTGCTGTGCGTGCCTGCTACGCCTGCGAGGGACGTTCTGCGTAGTTTACAGGGGTGCCTTCAGCCTGTGAACTCGCCTAATTACGGAACGACTAGTGTCCAACCTTGAAGTTCCTCAGGAACCAAGGCGGCAAGGCCAACGGCGGCGGCCCTGGTCTCATCGTCTCCCCAGCCGCGAGGTACATCTGTCAAAGTACCTACCTTACCTTGTGGCTGAGGGCCTCCGTAATCCGCATCTCGAATTCTCGACAAAGTACTCCGTATTGAGCTCGCCCAGTCCCGCAACTGGGCTCTCAACCCTGGGCCCAACTGGTGAGGCTGACAGAGATGGAGACGCTTGCTTGGCAGGGTCATATGTCATTACGGGGACTGCTAAACCCAGACGGGCCATAATGCTGCGGCGGGACAGGCACGACGGCACGTCGCAGCGCAAGTCGTAATTGACGGCAGTGTTTGGATGGCGAGTCCCCTCAAACCTTACGTACATCCCACCACGTACCGTTCCCCCTCACTGTCTTCTGTGTGTCTGTCTGTCAGTGTCGGTTACCACCCACCCTCTCTACCTTACCTTGAGGTACAACGCTGTTGCGTGCACGGCGCCGCAAAGCACTACTGCGGCCTACGTGCCTAGCATACGTTTCCCTTTTTCCTCCCCTCCCCTTCCCTGCCGTGCCTACCCACCTGCCCGCCTGCCCTGCCTCATCTCGGAGAGCGGTACTTCCCTCCATCCCCCAGACTGGTGCGCCAACCCAGGTACCGGCGAATCAGGTACACCATCCACACACTGCCGTCCCAGCAAAACGGCTACGCAGTACGAAGTACCTTACGGAGGGAATCTTATTGCTCCAAGGGGCCATTGCAATGCCACTTCGTCGTAAATCACAACCTCCCGCACCTTGCCTACTGCCACTGCTCCAGAAAAACACCCGAAGCTTGCTTTCCCTCTCACCTCTCACGCGCCCATCGTGACGGCAACCTGGCCATGCTCCCCTTCGCATCTCGCTAGCTTCGAAACGTCCGCCCAGCATCATTATGCTCCTCAGCCCTCTTGCACGGCCGTCCATCCCACTTGTCAGAATCTCTCCGACTACACGCGCGCAACAAACTCTCGCTCTCACGCCCGCTTACGCATACTTGCGACGACACTCGACGACCTCGTCAATCCACGACCACCACCCTACCCTGCTTGGCTAAGCCGGCGACAGACCACACGCCGTTGGAGGGCTCATGACGATACACTTGCAGCCGTGGGTGTAATGGGTATCGGCACCCTGGGCTCCCGCCGTCGTTTCTGCTACAACCATGGCTCCTCCCGCTCAGAATGGGCCTGATGGCTCATCACTTGTACGACTCCCTGTCTTTTGTCTTTTTACAACGCTGACCATACGCAGAAACCCGTCTCGTCGCTGAGAGCCAAGTTCGAGAACATGAACAAGAACGGCGAATCTGCCGCCGCGCCTGGCCCCTCCCCGCCCCGAACCATCTCTCCGGCCCCGAAGCCAGAGTTCCTTCGAGATGCGAAAGCCTCCTCCGAAAGCCTTCAGAGCCTCCCAATTCCCCCGAGACCCCGCGAGCGCGCGAGCATCTCGGCACCGTCACTCCCGCCTCCTCTTCACGAGCCCGTCCCTCGCTCACCCGGCCGCTCCCTCGGTGTCCCTCCCACCTTGAAACCGGAGCCCGTAAAGGCTCCTTCGGTCCTGATAGAACCGCCTCAGTCACCGCCAAAGAACTCCATCTCGAGGTTCTCCATCGCCGAGGCACCGGCCTTCTTAAACGCCGCCGACTCCGGCTCTTCCACCCCCACCACGCCAACCACTTCGCGAGCCTTCAAGATCCCAAGCAGGCCGCACACCCCTTCGCTCGATCCGCGACGTTCACCGAGGTTGTCTGCTTCACAGCCGCCTTCACCACCGCCGCCGAGACGATCTGGCGAGATACGGAGGGACCACAAGCCCGCCGTGCCCCCGCCAATCAACCGTGCCGAAAAGCCGTCGATGCGAGACCAGCCCAAGGCTCCCTACTACGCAGATCACCAAATCGGGGCTGCTGAAATCAGGGGCAAGCTCAGGGAAGAGACGTCTCCCTTTAGCAGCCCGCCTGGAAGCCCCGATAGTATCCACGAACCGGCCCCTCCAACTCTCCCCACCAGGCCAAAGGCGCTCGCAACGCTGACGGAACCACCGCCGCCCCAGAGAGGCAGACCGATAGATGTTGGGTTCGCGCCGCCCCCCGTTCACCATTCCATCATGACCAAGAGGAACCAGCGGGAGCAGGAGACGAATGGATTCATCAGGGGTCAGATCACTCCGCAGATTACGGGTGACCGGCCTAATGTACCCGCTCTTCCCGCAAGACCGCAGACCGTTGCGGAGCCTCCGCCGCGGCCGCCCGTCACGATGAAACCGCCTCCGCGGCCTCCAAGAGCGGGCGGCATCAACACCCACGTTGCCAGCCACTCCGTCAGTCATTCGGTCGACTTCCAGCCCCCGCCTAAGCGAATCGTCTCGACCCCGACAACAACACATCTTCCGCCGCCATCACGGCTACCGGGGCGTGCGAATACAGTCACGGACCGGACGTCACCGCGTCCGCCGCCTCCTCAACCACCTCAGCCAGTTCAACATGTTCAGCATGTACAACATGTACAGCCTGCGCAGCCTCCACCACCACCCGAGCCGACTGTGTCTCTTATTCCCTCCAGCAACACGTCAAAGGTGGAGATCAACGGCAACATACCAAACTTCCCTGACCCCGCAAACGTCAACCGACGACCGCCCTACATCAAACACGGCATGCACGAAATCCAGACCAAGTACGATCCGAGAACCTTCGACGTGTGCGGCGATCTCATCTGTACGACTGGCCATCTGACACGAGTGTGGAACCTCCGAGACGGCGAGCTGTTGATGAGTTTTGCTCACGGCGAAGGTATCAAGGCCACGACGGTGGCTTTCAAACCCGGCTTGAATGTGGACGAGGAAGGAAAGAGACTGTGGATTGGAAACAACTTTGGCGAGCTGATGGAAGCCGACATTGCAACGCAAAGCGTGGTCGCGAATAAGCCAGGGGCTCACGGCCGGCACGAGGTTGTCAAGATTTACCGCCACTTCAACGAGATGTGGTCGTTGGATGAGAATGGCGGCTTGCTCGTCTGGGCCCCGGATGAAGAGACTGGAACGCCAAATCTGACCAATAATGCGCACCAGGCAT